TCAAATAAAATTTAAGGGTATATTTGATTGATTGAAACATAGTTAATTTTTGAAATATGAGTTGCCAATACCACTAGAGATGATTAATTTTGCATCCTGGGTGATTAAAAGTAGATTTTTGACATTTTTGTGCACCAGGTATCGATACCCCATAAACAGGTATTGATACCCCCTTGCTAGGTATCGATACTACTTCAACGTGTATCGATACCCTCTTTGAATGTGTATCGATACCCCTAGATGGGTACTGGTACCCCCTGTCAGGTTTAGGCTTTAAAATCCTCAAATCTTCATCTTTTAGCAAAAACCTAAAATATTTCACTCTCATCGTTCTCTCCTCTCAAAAAAACCCAACTCATCTCTTTTCTCATATACAATGATTTCAAGTCGAAATCTCATCGTTCTTTATCTCATAATCCTGCTAGCATCATCAAATCAGTGCTAATAACATCACATCTCACTTAATCTTCAAATTTTCAAGGTAATTTTTCTAAACCAGTATTTTATTGATTTTTGAACATAGGACTAGTTTTAGTTAGTTCTAGTTCTAAATAGATATCGGGCATTTGTTAGATTATAGTCTAGAACTAAAATCTACAACTAATTTTATCAAAAACAAAGATTTCTCAAAAAATTATAAATTTTGAAATAAAAAATGTTTTGTTTTTAAATTGTTGTTTTTGATTTAATTATGTTGTTTTAATGAAAAATATAAATATCATGATTTTTCAAACATCATTTTCAAAATAGTTTTTAAAATTTTTCCCATTAGGATATTATTTAGAGAACCTTGAATATTAAGGACACATATTGAGTTTTGGGATTGATTGTGTTGCATACATGTGTTTTAAAATTACATGTATTCTTATTCTGATTTCGTAAATCATGTCAAAATGCCCTAGGTCATCTTCGAATCGTTCAAACCGACCTCCAAACCTACCTCCAAATCCACCTCCTAATCCTAATCCAAATGAACCCGATATGACAATACGAAACTCATGTTTTAACGAACGTGGTCACTGGGAAAATCTTCACACTAGGTTTGTTAACCTATTCCAGTCTTATAAAATTTGAGAAGAACGTATCCCTTCTATTCAAGCCATGATAGATATGAATTTTAAATATCTTCCTACCCTCCAAATATGAAAATTTGATAAACTATTTGAACTTGAACCGGTTGTTTACCAACAACTTGTTCGTATTTTCTATTCCAATGTGGTATGCATTCAAAATGAGTCCCAAACCGCCACAGTAGGTATTAGGTCTTATCTCTTAGGCCAATATATTTATATAGACTCAGACTATATCGCTAACGCATTTGGTCTAGATAATAGCGGCTGCTTAGATAATGAGCGAGAAATAGTTGGTACTCCTTATAAAGCCAAGTCTAGTGCAAGTACGTTGTCAGATCACCACGAACGTTTTCTTCATCTGATCATCTCTTGGTGGTTTAGACCTTCCGGAGGCAAATACTCTACTCTTAGAGCTTTAGACCTATGATGGATACATTGTATCCAAAAAAATAGGAAAATAAACCTCCCACAAATTATTTTTTATGAACTCTTTGAAACCGTAAATAATGTCCCATGAGTAATCTGTTTATCAAAGCCAAGCTTAAGGTAGAGATTGATGTATTCATCCCTCTTACCACCCAAATAAATCTTAAAACTTTGCGTAAATAAGGATAGAGTGGTGACAAGGATCAATGAATTCATTCAACCAAGAAAACTTCAGGTGCTAGCTCCTCACGAGCTGCACCAGCTCTGGCTGATTATCCAGAGCTTGATGAACTTCTCCGAGATGTCGATGATCCCGTTAACCTAACCGAGGATGAGCAAGAATAGAAAGAGAGTTCGATGCCTCCATAATTTAGCTCATTCATGGAGTCATTAGATATGAGGTTTGCATCATTAGAGTCCCACTTGACTGCTATGGGGACTCAACAGTTGGAGAATCAATGAGAAATTTGAGCTAACTATGAAGCAATGGATAATCGATTCAATCCTATAGACGAGAGACTCGATGATTGACACGAGATGTGGCTAATATATAGGCACATCTATCTCCTCCTGACCCACCGAAGGATAACTAAACCTTGCCTTGCTAGTTTTTCTTAGGTTGAATTTGAACTTAATTGTTAAAATATTTTGAATGATTTGGATGGATGTTAAACTTGTTAGTTTTGGATTTGTGTGTTTTGGATTTTGGATATATGTGTTTGAATGGTTTGAATGTTTAATTTGAACTTAATGTTTATGTTGATTTCATTCATTTTGTATCAATTACATCTTAGTTAAATTATGATCAATTCCCAATTTGCATGTTGTTCTGAATATTGATTATGGACTAATGACTAATATTTCTCTTGACTTTGATCTTACCAGCAATAACTATATAAATCAATTGGTTATCTTATTTACAAAACTTTTTAAACGTTTTCACATAGTCTTTTTGATTTAACAAAACGAGGAAGAATATAGTAAGGGGGAGTGGGAGTAAATATTTCAAAAATGATTTTTCAAAAGAAAATCTTGAAATTTCTAAAATGGTTTGTTATATCAAAAAGGGGGAGATTGTTGAAAACATTTTGATGTTTCGATATAAAAAATAAAGTGTTAATGAATTTTAAGATTTTATATTCAATTTCAAAAATAATATTCGATCCAATTAATCAAATATCACATATATTACTCCAAGTTTTCAAATGTCAATTTTACTCCTTACTTTAGTGAAAAATTGTGTTTCAATCTTAAAACATTTTTGAAATAATTTTTACAAATTATTTCGAACCAAAATCGAGCCAAAAATAAGTTTTAAATAGGGAGGTACTGATACCCTCTTGAGAGGTACCGGTACCCCTCATATTTCGAATGCAATAAGGGTACGAATATCCCATAGGGTATCGATACCCCTATGCAAAGAGGTACTGATACCTAGCTCAAAGGTACCGATACCTCTTATGTTAATTTTGGCTCCAAGAAAAATAGAATGCACAATGGGTACCAATACCCCTAGTCTTATAACGGTTGAAATATTTGAATTTTACACAAGATATATCGATACCCCTTGAAGGTGTACGGATACCCCTACTCTCCCCACAATTTTTCAAGTGGATTTTCACTCTACAATGGCTCTATCATCACCAATTTGATTCCCAACGGCTAGAACTCATCCAAAGTGTATTTAAACAAGTTCTTGAAGCCATTGATGATTAAGAATTACAAAGAGAAGCTAGAGAAACAAGAGAGAAAGCATCAAACATCAAGTTTGAGCATTTCAAGCCAATTTCCTTTCAATATTCATTTTTCTTTCAAGAACACACTTTGTGCTCAATTGTATTCATATTTGAGTGTTCTTTTCTTGTTCTATAATTGTGCAAACAAACTACCTTGTGAGCTTTTTCTGTAAAGTTTGCGAATTTTTAATTTTCTTTTTGGGAGAGAGTGTTCTCAAGAATTTTGGGTGTAATTCTTAAGGGATTTGTAAGGTTACTCTTTGTCCTCAAAAGAAAGACAAATTAGTGAATTTGTGAAAAATCCTTAGTGTGAATAGCTAAGGTAGTGGACATAGACTTTGGTTGAGAAAGTCGAACCACTCTAAATCGATGTGCAAATATTTTCAATTTTCTGCAAAAGCTTCCACCAATGTTTTAATTGTCAATTCACCCCCTCTTGGCCGATTCAAATTTCTCTCTTAATCAAGATGACGTTGTTATTAAGAAAATAAGATTCACATTCTTTTGTTAATCTAAGGTGATTATAAAGGGTAGTACATGTTTCAAATACTCTCAACCAATTGACAATGAATGTTCAAATATTTAGGAGTCGTCGATGCTCAAACTTAAAATTTATAAAATAGCAATAATCCTTTTAATCACTTAGATAATATGGTTTATACAAAATGACGCTAACGTCTAAGAAATGTCATTAATCAATTTATTTTGGCTTTTTTGGACATTAAACCATGCTTTATGCGGGTACATTATGCTATATCTTCTTCTTTTAATTAGGTTATATATTTTTAGTAAACATGTTATTTTATATTATATTCCATGCGACATTCATCACATCCATCATAAATAAAATTTGAAAAGTCTAAAATAAAATTAAAATAAATAAAAACATTGTGGCCCAGATGGACAAAGTAAATGTCAACCTTACAAGTTTTATTTATGAAAAGTCTAAAATAAAAATTAAAATAAATAAAAACATTGTGGCCCACATGGACCAAGTAAATGTCAGCCTTACAAGTTCTTTGATATCGGTCTAATTATGCTGTAACTTTGAGATAGTCCAAACACGCCAATCACGACAATGACCTTATCCACCGATAAGTAAGCTTCCTCACATTATTAATTATATTATGGGGCTCTTGGTTTTAAGTACAAATTTATATTATTACATAAATATATCAATATATCATAAAAGTAATAATTTACTAATATTTAAAGTTTTTTAATATTTTAAGCTATTATAATTCAAAAATGATAAAGACTCCCCGTACATAAATTTGAATAGTAAAATCAAAATGAACTCATCAGATAATATCCACATGGCTATTCTTAATTAAGATAATAAAGCAAGTGACTCTCTTATTAAGACCAAAAGAACGTTCCCAGGAAGCTTCACAATTGGAAAAAATAACAAACGGTTGCTTTCTTAATTACAATAATTAGAATAATAATAATATTATTAACTTTTGAATGAGATTGACACAAGTGGTTAAGATTTAGAAATTTAAACTTGTAATTCTAAGTTTTAATCTTACCACCTTCACTTTTAATAGGTAATCTATAAATTCCTAAATAAATTCAAATTGAGTTTTAAATATACACGCTACAATAGGAACCACACCTAAACTTTAAAAAAAATAACCGAAAAGTCAACTTGAAAGAAAAATATTAAAGTCACATGCCACTAGCACATATTGATTGGTAGCGGCATAACCGTCGGCCTATATAAATAAGGCTTAAACGTACAAGCTAATAGAATCGGGAAAATATGGCGAGGGATTCGTTCATTGCAGTTGGTGGCAATGACCCGAAAGAAGCAGGAGGGCTCATGATGTATAGCTCTACAGGGCTGCTCTTACTTTCCATGATTATTTTCTCCCTCTCTGTAATTTCAATGATCATTTTCGCCTGTGGTGATGATGGAAAGCCTCGCAGAAAAACTGGTTTTGCGGGCAGTGGCTATGTAGGTGGCGGTGGTGGAGGAGGCGGCGGAGGTTGTGGAGGTGGAGGTGGCGGCGGCGGCGGAGGTTGTGGAGGTGGAGGCGGCGGCGGAGGTTGCTGATAGTGCTATTCAAATTTTATCAGTGTTGTGTATAAATAATTTTCTTATGGTCTTAAAATAAACAAAATCTGATAAAGTAAAAGAACAACGGAAGAATAGATCAGGTAATAACGAGAAGCAATTATATTTATATTTTTCTCATTATAACGTATGCATAATATTATTAAATTTGAATTTTATATGATATCTATATTATATATATACATATAGATATATATATATATATATACATATACATATACATATACATACATATACATACATACATACATACATATATACATACATACATACATACATACATACATACATATCATATAAATCAAGTGTACCAAAAAAATTATATATATTATATAAAATTCAAATTTAATAATCCTTAAAAATTTAAAGTTCAAAGTTTTAATTGTAACGAAAATTCACAAAAAATAAATAAATATTTATTGTACTCTCCCACCTTTGGATGTCTAATGAAGTTTATGTGTTATTAAAACTTTACTTACACAAAACTTAGTGAAAACATTCTTAGTCCAAGAAAAAAAAAGTATATGTATATTTAAAATATATAACGTGTTATCTCATTGAAAACTTTATTAGGAAAACTTAATGGACTATATATTAGTTAAGAGAAAAATAGTACAACACATATTTACTTACCTTCACGACAACATTATATATATTCCAAGAGTATTCATAATTCAATCTTAAAATTAATCTTTCAGTGGATGATATATTGATTAGTAAATATATCGAACTATCGAATAAACGAACTCGTTTATATTATCGTTCTTTTAAAGACTATAAGACAATAAATATTTAAGAAATATATTCATTTGATCTACTTTAATATATTCTCATTCCAACTAATATATACATGCAGCATTAACAACATTACAAATATCAGGGTATACAAGAAATATATTTTATTCATACGAATACTTTTAAGATTTTTTAGATATATGTTAATTTATAGCCTTTATATTTAAGTGTTCAGTTTTTCAGTTGAAATAAATCTAATTTCAATTTTCTTTTATCTCAAATGTTTTTAAATAATTAAATACTTTTGAAATTATTTCAATCCAAATAATTAATATTCACACATATCTGAACATTTTTCTTGGAAGTTTCCATATGCTTCTGACGCTTTAAATTACTTAAAAGTAAATTCAATTATATAGAGATTCATATAATTATTATATACATATCTTGTAATGTAGAAAGTAGTTTGTTGTGTTTAGTTGTTATTGTTAGTGGATATTAATGTGTATATATACAGGTACCTTGTATTATTATGTATGGGTTAATAAGATGAGTAGATGCATTTTTTTCCCAGTTTTAACAAGTAACATCCTAGACTTGATCTAGAATATTTGGAGGATCCAAGATGTCACATAGGTTCCAATGCGATTAACAATTTTAAATCGTTAAAATTTAAATCTTAATTATCAAATTCATGATCATCTAGAAGACATAAAATTGTAAGTTTAATGGTTAAAACAATTATACGAAATCACAAATATGTAATAACGTAAATATAAAACAAAATAATAAGGTTATAGATAAAAAATACAAGTCATATGAATAAATGTGCAGTGACATATTGTACTCTGAATAAGGAATGCTATAAATTCTTCTACTATACTTGATGCAGTGCATAAATATAACCATGCTATTAAAATGTAATGATGGAGGCATGAGCATAGTCATCGACTCATGCATAATAATTTAGTTATTTCAAGTCCTAAAGATCTTCTTTAAGTCTTAACCATATATTATAAAACCACTAGTATAATAAAAACATTGTTTTAAGCTCATACATAAGGTTAGGATGGTCAAAATACCCAAACCCGATAGGTTCCGACCCGACCTGATCTGATAGGGGCGATTTAAATTTTTGGGACTCGGGGTGGAACGAGTTATGTAGTGAAAATTTTCGGGGGGGGAGGCGGGTTTAAGGTGAAAAGTACTGATCTGACCTGAATCGATTATTATATATATTTATATATATTATAATTGATATTTTAAGAATTTTATTTTTATATTATTACAATATATAATTTAATTATTAAGAATATAAAAAATATTATAAAAATATTAATTTAACAGTTTAAATATAATAAATAATTATAAATATATTATTATAAACTATATTATTTTTATTTATTTTAAAATATTAATATCTTCAGTTCGGGTCTGATTAGGTCGGAGTTGGGGTTGAGGTTTTAGACTAAAAATCGGAACAGATTTGGGGCGAGAAAAACTCAAAATTCATTGGGTTCGGTTTTGCATATATGTTTTTGGGTCGGGGCCGAGACGGACAAAAACCCGCTCCGCCCCTCCCCATGCCCATCCCTGCATAAGGTAGATGTTGATATTCTACCTCGACTATCAATACCTCATTAAAGGTGTCCATTCCAAAGTAGGCATCGTTATTATAATCGCTTATTGGATCCTCACAAACCATTCAATAGCGATACCAATCAAATTAGTATTGATACTGAATGAATGATATTGATACCGTATGAATGAGTATCAATACTTAATCTTAAAAAAATGTCAAATTTTTAAGGGTTACTCTTATGATATCAATACTGTCTAAACAATATTGAACTTAAACTCAGAAATTTCTAAAAACTTATTTTAAAGCCTTAATTGATTTATAAAACTTATGGTATTATTATCACATCATATGACATCATTTTTACAATTTTATAACGTCAAATCATATGAATCAACTTAAGCACCCAAAAGCTCACATAAAGCATTTCAAAATTAAAGGTGTACTACCTTAATGAAAAATACCCAAGAAAGCTCCTTTATTAGCTTTCCACCATCTTTTAATTCCCCTTGGCTCTATAAATCTCACTAAATTCTTTTGCTATTCAAAGAAACTTAATAAGGATTCATACATCAAATATGATTTTAGAGGAAGTAAAGCTTCAAATTTAGAACGTCAAAACCAACTAGAAATGGCTTAGAGAAGCTTTCAAAGTTTAAACTCTCCATATATCTAAGATAGCTTCACACTACACCTTTTGAAGAAGATGAACTTTTCTTTAAGCTCATGGAGTGCTGAAGATGATTCTTACTTTCTTGAACCTCATGATTAATCTGGACAAAAAAGATTGCTCATTTAATGCTCAAATATTAGGGTTTTGGGAAAATAGGAATAAAGAAAGAAATAAGAGAAAAAGATGAATCAACTAAACCTTTGTGTTGGTCAATCTAATCAACTCTAGACCCACTAGCTTTCTCTTACTAAACTGTCAAACACATAGTTCTACACTTACGAATATACAACGCTTGGAAATGAGACATATAAAATACTCCATTGATAAACATAGATGTTATTTCTTTTAGAGTTTCGTAAAGAGTACGTGTATTGTTAATAACTAAAAATTATTAGCATATACTTATTAGTTCTCTGTGATCAATCAAATTTCAATATAGCTTTAAGATCAACCTTATAAACTGATCACATCATATAGAGACGAGAACAAAACATCAACTAAATTCTAGACTCACTAATTGATTTGGACAACAATAGATGTTTGTAGATTAAGAATTGTCTAACATGGTCGAATCCACATGGCAGTTCTTAAATGAGCGATGTAGTGACTCTCTAGTTAATACAAAAAGAATATTTCCAAGCTTCAAAATTGAAAGAAAAGAAAGATGAAATAACAAACGGTTGCTTGTTTGAATAATAATAATAATAATAATAATAACGGAAAAGTCAATAGGAAAGAAAAATATCAAAGCCACAAGTACACATTGATTGGTAGCGGCATTACCCTTATCCTGTATATATGAGGCTTAAACATACAAGGTAAGTGTAGACACCGTTTTTGACTTGGCTTAAAAAATATTATAATATTATATTATTATTATTATTATTAATTAATAATTTATATTTTGATGCAGGGCACCTATAGACCCGAGACATCTCCCCAACAGTTTCACGACATGTTCACCAACACACCGCATCACGTGCACCATACTAGCGGTGACAAGATTCAAGGATGCCTTAATTGGATTTATGTGCAGGATGGAATGCTAAAAATAAAAAATTGTTAGTGGAAGTTATAGACCCACGCAACTACATTCTACCTAAACCATCACCAAAGTTAGCAAATCCAACAAATCTCACCTATCCCATCAACATCTTACCAAAACGTAAGCAAAAAGGAAAGGGACAAGGGGATTCGGTGAGGATGGCCACCATAAAGGAGGGGTCTCGAACGAAACAAGAGGAAAAAAAGAGATTCAACACAGAGAGGGGGTTTTCGTTGTAACCAAAATAGGGAAATTTTCTGCTCTGGAATTCGAAAAAGCAGTGTAAACTAAGGGTATTCCTCCCTTCAATTTTTTAATGACCCGAAAGGAAGGTAGTGTGATTCCATCTTTTCATTTTTATAATTTTTTATTTTACAAAAATTTAACAGAAGTACCAAACATGGTTGTTTTCTTAGATTAGAAACCAAAGCAGTACCGAGAGAGATTAATCCTAACAACCTAGAACCGAAAATCAAAAACCAAAAACAAAAGATCATTAACCATCATCGAGTGAAGAATTTAGTCAAAACCAAATCTCATAAGCAAATAGTAGAGGAAAAATGGATACTCTTTTCGTTTTTTTAGTTAATCAATACCAATACGCGAATTTTTATTTTATTTTATTTCCTAGCATTTTTCTTTCTTTCTTTAATTCGAAATACAAAATTTAGAGAACGAAGGGGGTGGGGTTCGATTTGTTTACCTGAGACGTTCGGGTTCCCTCATAGGAATCTACCACGCTTGGGTGAGGTTATCGTCGCCGATGAACGACGGTTTGCATGTTGGTTTAGTTGCTGGAATTCAAAGAATGGAAGGGTCGGTTTCCATTAACAACCCTTCGAGTGCTTTAATAAAAAAAATAGAATGAAGAGGGGAGGGATTAACCGGTCTTACCTTAAGGTGTGGATTCCACCGTTTGAATCTTGTCTTCGGAGAGGAAAAGAGGAAGACTAGGACCAAACCGTGGCCGATTTACGGCCAAGAGCGGCGTTGGATCGAGCCTTTTAGGGCTCTCGGTCGAATAGAGTAGCAAGGAAAAGGAAGGGGTTGAGAGCAGCAGAGAAGGAACCTGGCGCAAGAAAAATAAAATGGGTTAAAATTGGGTTAGTAATATGACAATAATTGTTTAATATTCTAAGGCTAAAATTGGGGGTTAATCAAACCCACGTGGGTGGCCAGTCCATTTAGTGTTTTATAACTTTTGTTTTTTTTAATTTATGGTTTTAACCTTAGATTTATTTGCTTACCACGTGGATGGCTCCACATGCATTTATCTTTGTTAGTTAGTGCCCAAAGTTAATTACTATTGTTTGTACACGTTTAAAATATAAAATATTGCATTAAACCTAGTCAAATTTATGTGTTATTGAATGATATAATAATAATAATATGTTTAAATGAAATCGTATGTATATATTATATTTTATTTACGTATGTATATATTTAATGTTTATTTCTTTTGTATGTTATTATTAGAATGTGTATGTATATTTTCTTAACAATATTTAGTTATTATTAGTTTTTGATTGTTTATAGATTACATATATAGTTTTATTCATTTTGATTTATAAATTAGGTACAAGGCATCTTTTAATTAATATTGTATGTTATCTTCATGTGCATAACTCGATATTATTACATGTTATGTTAATATTTGATTTTGTGCATAATATTTATAAATATTACATATCAGTCATTGATTTAATGTATTTGTGTATTTTGATATTATTCGAATTTGGCTATGATGGTTGTAAATATATCGTTTTAGTCCTTGTTTTAATTTGGTTTAATTGTGATTTAGCCTTCAGGTTTTTGATTTGTTGCACTTTAGTTCTAAATTTCATTTTTGGATTATTTTCATTTTAGTACATGTGTTATTTAATGTTTGTAATTTTTTATTTTGGTTTATTAACCCTTTAAGTTTTTGTTCTAATTATTTTGGTTCTTATAAGTTTAACTACTTATTTTATTTTATTTATTTTCTTTAAGTTATTAATATGAAGTAAATTAATTAAATTTCAATAAACGAATCATATTTTAACTTGATATTTGATTCAGGATTTCCACCATTACGACAACGTGTAAGCCACACAGTACCAATTTTGGGCGCTGTGGGGGTGTTAATCCTTCTCCACGCGTAACCGACTCCCGAACTCATTTTAATCGAATCTTTGAAAAACGTAGACCAATTTTTGTCATAAAAATGATTTTTCATAAAATTATTTTTAAAAGACATTTTTAGGTATTCGACCTACCTAGTCCAAAGGTTGATGGCGACTCTATCCAAATTATTCCAAATTAATCCAAAATCACCTATTTCCCAAAATTAAAAGTCATTACTATTTTTAAAACAATTAAACGATTGTTCCTCCCGAAAAACGGTTACGACAGCTTAGCGACTCTGCTGGGGAGACTTTTTAGAGAGTCAAGCTGTAAGTCGTTTACACATTGTTGTTGTGATAGAAATTATGAGTTTGAGTTTTTAGTAAATTTATGATTCATTTATTGAAGTTTGTAATTGCTTCATTTTTTGTTATACTAACATTTTGATTTTTTTACTTTCATATTTGTCCAAGTTTTTATCGAGTGGTTTCATTTTTCTTTTGAGTCAAAGGGCTGAATTTTCCTCCTCACACACATCACGTTCATTGGCATACCATAAGCTCACTTACGAGCTTTGTCCCTTTTAAGTTAAGGTGAAAGCTTAGCCTACGTGAGATAAATTGTTTATCCGCATGGGTTTTAGCAAGTAATCTTTGGGGTTCATATACCTTATGTCTACGCGAGATAAACTATTTCTCCGCATAGACATAAGGGAATGTATCCTCTCGAATTGAACTCGATCTGCATGAGCCTGTAATGGGTCAAGATTGAGGGTTTGGTAGCCTAAGGGGGCACCGACATTAAGGACAATTCGAGTACCTTTTTTCCATTAGAGCTGAAACCATGCATATAGTGAGCCTTAGAACAGTTACTCTAGATATAGTCAGTAGGTACCCAAATTAAGTGTACACAAAGGAGAAGCGTTTCAGAACATTTCTTTTTACTTTAAATAAAAGCATGTGAACTAGATATCATGCAGTTAGGATTATTTCATTGAAAATAATTATTTGGGGAAGAAAACATGTTTGGGTAGGATCGCTATCTAATAAAAAGCATGATCGGGTAAATATCATGATTAGGTAGGTGTTATATTTATCTTCAAATAAAATCTTTTAATTTTATTGATTATTTCGCCTATGCTAATTTATTTCTTTTCTTTTGTGTATGCTATTTTTTTGTTCTTCTTTGCATTGCATCACTTTTGCATCTACATTTGTATCTTCGCATTTGCATATTCATCATGAATAAAAGAAAGGTGTTGATTAAACCAAGTAATCATCAGATAAGAAGAGCGATCATTGAAATGGAACAGAGTTTTCATAGCAAGGAAGAACTCTATCTAGCAGTACGAGCCTGGTCAGAGGAAACACAAAAAGTAAAAGGAGATAGTTTACCTGAAGGTTATGTATCGCAACTATCCACATATCTCAAGAGGAATGATCTACAAGAGTTTATAGAGATTTGAGAGATTTGGAGAGTAGTAACCAAGGAGAAATTTCACAAGAAATATGGTGACATGGTTTATCTCCTCTGCGTAAAGATAGATGATTCGTTGCTTAAAGCTCTGGTCTGACGTCGAAATTCCATGTACAACTACTTCACTTTCAACAGACAAGATTTGATACCAACAATCGAGGAGTATACAGCTCTATTTAATTTTGAAAATCTCCAGGTGGATACAATTTATTCCAAACCTCCAAAAATCCAATCCTCCAAGAGTAAACTGGTAAAGATTACTGGTACAAGTAAAAATTGGATAATAGAGCACATTCAACAAAAGGGAGAAAGTGAATGTTTTCCTTGACACTGTCTCAAGAAGGTGATACTCGAGCATATAGATGAAGGTAAGAGATTGGACACATTTGCTCTTGCCATGTATGGTCTAGTGATATTTCCAAAGACTTTGTTCCATGTTGAGGCTGCTGTTGCAGATTTCTTGGACAGATTGGAGAAAGGTATAAGTCCTGCAATGACTATCTTGGCAGAGACTCTTTGATCCCTAAATGATTTCCATAGATTAGAGGGAAGGTGATTTAGATGTTGCACTTAAATACTCATCATCTGGATTCAAAATCATTTCTGGAAAGAGGAGAAAGTTATTGGGACCATGACTGAGATCATGAAGCTAAATAAAAGGCCAAACCACATTCATATATTGATCTTTCTTGTAAAGATGAAAGTTCTTTTGGAAGAATGAAACTCTTTCTAAGAATGATTACTTTTGGAAATCAATACCTTTTGCATTTGCATTCGCATCTTTGTTTTTTTACGTTTACATTTTCATTATTTGCATTTGCATCTTTGCATAGTTATATTTATAGTTTCAATCTTACATCATGCATTTGCATTTTATTTCAAACTACTTTACATGCATTAAATCATGAAAATATGGGAATAATTTGTGGAGAATTCCATGATAGAATTTTCAAAATCAAATTGGAGCTAACTTGGTCTTCCTAGTGAATGATAAGAACCATGAATGAGATTTTAGCAAGGGTTTGTAGAATCGAGAAAATCCAAGAGCAACTTATCAAGATTCAACAAGAAATGAATGATCAAGCAAAGAAGTTTCAGGATGAGTCAAGGGAGCAGATAACCAAAATAATGAAGATGGTGAATGTCGTGATCTATGGAGAAGAGCCACTAGAGGATCTCGTTTTATATGAGAATATGAATGCTAGTGTTGAAACTATGATTGTAGAAGGTTCCACTGGGCCCACAATAAATGAAGATCTAACAAGAGATAAAATTTCCCTTGGGAAAGTTGAGTCTTACTCAAACAAGAGGGGCATAGAAGAGGACCAAATGCTAATCAAGAAAGCTAAGAATGATCAATTTCTCATGATTAGAGGTTTTAACCCTTTACAATATTCCATTCAAGACAATCAAGTTCTATCTATAAAGCCATCACCAAATAATCTCTCGTTAGGGGGATTACATGAGAAGAAAAAACTCACACCCGGATTGGTTACACCGGGATGTGTCCATCCACAGTGGCCCCCGAATGAGAACTGGACCTATAAGGTGATTCCTTGGATAAACCAGAAAGAAACCCCAGATTGTTCATTTAAGGTTCCTAGAAACTTTGAGGATCCTTTAGAGCAAGCAATTCACAGGTGTAAAGTAAAAGAGAAAGGGGTTGTTACTTCAACAGAGATTAATACAGTCAATTCCCATGAAGAACACAGGGAACAAGAGTATGCGAAAGGAAATCAAAGCAAAATGGCTTCCATGGATGTAATACGAGACTGGCCTATGGGTTTAAGAATTAATGGGGCAGGTGCAACCTTGAAGACATCTCAAACAACTATATCAGATTTCCTGAAGGCAAGTGGGGTTTTGGGTAATTTAGAAAGTTTGACGAATGTTACGCCAATCACAGCTGCAATATGTGTTCAGAATCCAGTAAAAAATATCATCACCAAGGAAAATTGTTTCAGATCTAAATTTGGGCCTAATTTCCAAACAGGGAAAGAAAAACTGATGAATAACAAGAAATTGGGATTTTACGAAGAAGCGGCTCAGGAGGAAGCAGAAATTTGTACATCTAAGGATACATCGAAAGGATTCATGGCAAGTGAAATGGTCAAGAAATGGGGAGCAAATGAGGACAAAGACTCTGGCCCTATTACACACCCAACATTAGAGGAGTAATGATGCATGATAAATAAACAAGTGGAAGTGTTATCTACCACTATAGTACCTTTCTATTTTCAGCATCTTGTTTGAATTTTTTTTTGTTCCTTTCTCCGCTTTTTGTGCAATAAATAAATTTGTGCTGCTTTTATGGTTATGAGCTTTGAATCAATTTTGCAATCTTGCAGTTCTTTGAATATTAACTGGATTAAAAACTCTTCTTCATTAGAGTTATAATCTTTGACAAAATATCAAGATTGAGAACCAAAAAAACAAGGACCCTTGACCTTACCTCAGATGAAATACACCCAAATACTATCCCATTACAAATATGAGATAGCCTTCTCCTATTGAAAGGAATTATAAAAA